CTGGCTGGCTGGCTGGCTGACTGACTGACTTGTATCACTGTCGACAGATGTGGTATCTTCCCTTTCTCACGCGGCTGCTCCTCGTCGTGATGCTGCCCGCCGTTCCTGTCGCACCCGCGGCGCCGCGCCTCGCTCCGTCCCGCTCGCTCGCACGCACGTACGCGAGGTAGACGAGAGCGAGGAGCGCACAACACCCTCCGTTATATCCCGCGATTAAAGCACGGCCGCCCCCGGCCGGCCGCCCCTGTGCTGCCGTGCCGCCAGGACAGACAAATTGGGAGAGAGAGAAAGGGCGAACGAGACGGCGAGGAGCGGACGAGGCAGGGGCTGCGGCGACGTACGTACGTCCGTCGACGTGGACGTACCTGGCCCGACGACGACCGTGCCGTGCGTACGTGCGATTAACAGGCGTGCGTCTAAGATTTCACTGGCGCATACGACGGGGGCCCCCGCGAATTGTAACACTGGCTTCCTCCCAGCGATTACTGCGGCGACTCCTAGTTTTAGATCGATTCTCCTACGGTACGTACCGCCGTACGCCGCGAGGGGTCGGAAGGGCCGCTCTGCACGTACCACCCTCCCCTGTTCATCCGCCCTCCCGCTCCGCGCCAACTCCCGCCGCCGGCCTGAAACCCCTAGGAAACCTCGCCCCGCGAACGCCACCGACAGCCGACACCTGCGACTACGTGGGAATGCCACCTCTAGAGGATACCAACGAGGGTCGCATTGGGAGGAGATCTCAAGGGGTGAGATCTCTCCGAGGGTAAACGCGCGGTCCCGGACAACGATGATAAAGACGACTGACCTCGGATAAGTGGACTATCTTTCCTTCGAAAATCAACGAATAGGTATTTTCTTGACCGAAGGTTGAAATAAAAGATAATGAGTGGAAGTAGATAATCCTATTGCGATCAGACAGTCGAGTCTCGCACAAGGGGAGAATTTCTAATTGTAAAACTACAATAATATGATAAAATTATTATTGTTATGATAAATGTAAATCTTTCATTTAGAATTATATTATTTAAAAACTAAATTTCGATAGTACACGAAATATACATATAATACCATAATAATTTTTTAATCAAATAGAAAGGATTTATTGTAAAAAATGTTAATACATTTAGTCAGCTCATACAAGCAGTCATTTCTTCATTATAATTCATCTATACTTAACATATGCATATGCGTACATCTCGTATTTCTCCGACATATGTAAGAGAACCCCACCGGCCACCACCCCTGTTTACGACACGTGTATCTCCATGGCGATGTGTTGAGTAACGCGTAAATAAATGCATCACGTGAGTCACGTCAATGCACGCAAGTTTGTTGACCAGTTCAGGCCCTGCTCCGTTTATGTATTTTTTCGTGATCAAATGCATCAGACAAACATGGCACCGAAGAAATTACGTGAGAAAAAGCGCGATTTCAATCAGAACTTGATCGAACCGCCTCGCTCATTCGAACAGTTGTGCAACATGATAAACAAACTAGAAAAGGATAGCAGTATTGAAATTACGGAGTGCAATCGGATGGATTTATTAGCTGTCGATGTAAAATACGATGCTAATCTGGAGCCAGCAATGTGCAAGTATTTGGGACAAGTGAGCAATAAAAATTTAATTTATAATCTTAAAGAGAATAAAATCTAATTTGTTCAAGAATCGTATCGCTATTCATAATAATTCCGTTCTATTATTAAAACTCAAATATAATTGAGCGCAGATCGAACCGGAGAAAGATGTTTCGACGGACAAATGCGAGTCAGTCGTAACAACTTACGAAGACATAATGTCCTTCCTAGGAACGCTAGAAAATGGTACTGAGATTTAATAGATTAGCAGAAGATTGTACTTAAAATTGAGAGTTCTGCTTGTTTTATTTGTAAAATAAGCTCTGTGTAATGTCACAATCTTTATTGTAGAAGATACACCAGCGAATGACATCACTGCCAATAATGCGACAACTGTAATCTCGTCCTGCCAAAATCCTAGTAGGTGGGGAACTGATTTCCTCTAATATCTCGCAAGCGAAGTATATCGCGTGTTAAAAAAGCGGACAAAAATTTTATAAAAACGTCCTGCTTTATTTGCACCACAGGTATGACGTGCAGAATTTTGGCTCCATTCAACGGGACGATTTAGAGACCGCGAGATTGCAAATCGAGGAAAGAAACGCGACGATAGAATGTTTAAAAAATCAACTGAAGTCCGAGCGCAAGGCGGCGTGTGACAAGATGGCATCGCAAAAACGTCATCACGCTATCAAGGCGAAGGAGTTGGAGAACAAGTACAGGACGATCGTGAAACGCCATCAGAAGTTTATCGAGCAGCTGCTCGCCGAGAAGACGGATCTCACGCAGAAATGCGACTCTCTGGCGCGACAAATCAAAGAGATGGAACAAAAGATTCAGCGAGATTTGAAGGTAATTACTGAGAGGCACGCCGTCGAGCTGCAACGCGCGAAGGAGAACATAGCAGCATCTGAGAAGATTCGGCGCGAGCGATGGCTGGAGATGAAAACGTCGAAAATCAAGGTAGTTAATCATTAATTTGATTATTATTAGGAAATATAATTTAAGAGCTTTTAATTCTGAAATTACAAACGCAATTCTGAAAAATTATTAATTTCATAATTTGAGCAAAAAGATATTTGATAGATAATAGCAATACAAACAAAATTTTGTACAATATAATGAAGTTACATGATTAAATAATAAATTTAAATTTAAATAATAAGAAATAAAAAAATAATATAATTAAATAATTAAAATTTACGAAAATTATTGATTTCGTAGGAAATGACAGTAAAAGGCCTGGAACCAGAGTTGCACAATATGATGGAGCAACATCAACAGGAGATACAAGAATTAAGACGTACGCATATAAAAGACTTACAGGATATGGAGTTGCGCGCGATGCGTAGGTCGAATCAACAGCTAGAGCAATTGCGAATCGAATTGACAGACAGCCACGAGAAAATATTGGCCAAGGAGAAAGACATATTGGTAGCAAGGTATGAGAATTTTGTCGCAATTAGATTGATCTTAATATAAATTTTAGTTAAATCTATATAAATCATAATTGACTAGATACAAAGAAAAGCTGGAAGAGCAAGAGGCGCACTTTCAGACGCAACAGAAAACATTTGCGGAGCATTTCGAAAGAGAGAAATCGATGCTCATCGCAGAGCAAAAGAAACGCGACCGGGAAACAAGTGTAATAATACAACAAACGGAATTGCACTTTCAGGTTTTCGTTTTACAATAAAATTATTTTTCTATCGTTGAACGAACAATTATCTAATAGCGTTTTATACAATCATTGAACTTGTCTCTGCAGAAAGACACGGAAAGATTAAAAGAGCAATACGAAATTGCTAAGAGGAATTTCGAGGAATCCCTGAGAAAAGAATGGCTCGCGTGGGCGGATAATTATAAAAAAGAACAAAATGTGACTTTCACAAGAGCGGAAGCTACAATTCGTAACGATTGTCAAAAAGAAAGAGACAAGCAGATAGAGATCGCTATAGTCAGATTGGAGAAAAAATCTCGTGAAATGCAAGACAAGTTGCAGCAAAGTTTCGACAATAAATTAGAGTAAGTTTACAATGTACCTTGCTTCTAAGCATAGGAATATGTATTGTATAAAAAAATTGTCATAATTGTCGAAATTGTTTTTAGGCTAATGCAAGAAGATTACAACACAAAATTGCAGGCCGCAATTAAAAGCGAGAGTATTTATAAAAATAAATTGCTATTATTGGAAGAAAAATTCAAATGTACAGAAATCCAATTTGAAAAAACAGAAAATAAATTAAAAGAATATATTTTAAATCTTAATAATATGAATGAGGTAAATTTTATGAAACTAACTGATTAATTAGGTATAATTATCGTATGTGTGTTAAATGCAATTTATCAATGTATAGACAATCGTAAAGTTGACTAAGGAGAGAGACAATGCAAAGGATATAGCGAGGCAAGAAATTGAGACAGAGAAACGAGAGTTGGAAAACAAAATCGCATCGCTTTATCAAGAAATAACACAGAATAACGTTAACAGAGATCAACTTATGGCACAGTTACATAGCAGGTAAAAATTAATGTCCGATAGCGCAATAATAAAAGATTAATAGATATATACAAAGTGTTCCATTTAAATGAAAACAGTCAGTTTCCTCCGAAATTATTGATGACAGAAAAAAAGTTTCAGATGAAAGTGGAACGTATATTTGATCAGTTGCTTTTTTCTAGATGAAGGCGCTGAAAAGATATGAAAGTTACGTTCACTTTTTAAAATAGAATTATATAATTTTTTACGTAATATAATTTTTCTTTTAAAAACAACTATACGTTTTCTACATATATGACAAAGAACAAAACTGTTCCTGAATGTAGTGTAATCGGGCAACTTCCAAATCACGTTGAAACTACCAGTTCTCGTCCGATCACTGAAGTCAAGCAACATTGAGCACGGTTAGTACTTGGATGGGTGACCGCTTGGGAACCTGTGATGTTGTCCCTCTTTAATTTTTTTTTTGCTTTATAGCCAGACGGAATTTTATGAAGAAAACTAAACTATGTCGACAAAATTAAAATTTACTATTTAAAAAAACTATGCAACTTATTTATTTTTTTGCTAAGCAACTGTGTGTTTTCTTTACACCAATCGATTTATCTCATTATTCTGTGCATAAAACTATCAAGATAGTTATCAAGAAATCAATAATTTATGAGATATTTTATATTTTTGTCGAAAATATATGGCATGATAAAGTATGAAATATTCTCGTATTGATTTTTCAATAAAATTTACCTTAATACTTTTATATAAATTATCTTAATAATTTTATGCACAGAATAATGAGATGAATCGATTGGTATAAAGAAAACAGTTGCTTTGCAAAAAAGGAAATTTTAATTTTATCGATGTAGTCTTCTTCATAAGATTCTCGTTTTGGCTATGAAGCAAAAAATAAAAAAATTAAAGGACAACATCACACGGTGTTCCCAAGCGGTCACCCATCCAAGTACTAACCGTGCTCAATGTTGCTTGACTTCAGTGATCGGACGAGAACTGGTAGTTTCAACGTGATTTGGAAGTTGCCCGACTACAACAGATTCGGGAACAGTTTTGTTCTTTGTCATATATGTAGAAAACGCATAGTTGTTTTTAAAAAAGTTATGTAATTAGCATTACGCAACTAGATATCATTTTTAAAGAACAATTATTATACATTTTTTTATACCATTTTTTTTATACCCGTCTCATTATGTGCATAAAAGTATTAAGATACAATTATCAAAAAATCAATAATTTACAAGATATTTCATATTTTAGTCGAAAATATGTGACATGATAAAGTATGAAATATCTCGTAAAGTATTGATTTTTGATAACTTTACCTTAATACTTTTATATAAAGAATAAATAATTAGAGAAATCATTATGTAAAAAAAATTATAATTCCAAAAAAGTGGAGGGTCTCCAAAAAAAGGACCTTCGTTTCTTTTGAGCATCTCCATCTAGAAAAAAAGCAACTTGACGACGAAGCAAAATACGTCGTCCTCGAAATCGTTCCACTTTCGTATGAAACATTTTTTTGTATTATCAATAATTTTGAAAAAAATTGGCTGTTTTAATTTAAATGGAACACCCTGTATAAATCGTAAATTAATATGTCACAACATATATTGTAGATTGCATATTCCATAAATATGACGTTTTGTTTTAGGATAAAACTTGTAGTTACTCAAAAAGTTTTAATTATAAAGAATCTAAATAAAAAATTAGATGAAGCAAATTCAAGATCGCAAACACTTGGAAAAATTGCTAGATCAACAAAGAAAAGAATATATTTTAAAATCTTTGTAAATATAATTTAAAAATTGTATATGTGTGTGCGTGTGTGTGTGTGTATGCTTGTATTAAGGACAGCTTTCAAGAATATAAAGGTTTTGACTATAAAAATATCTTTTCCATTTTTAAAATGCAAATTATTTTTGCCATAAATTATATTATTTCACAAAATATAATACTATACAAAGTAAATCATATTGATAATTGATAATATCTATATTCATACACATAAAATAAACATTATATAAGTTTTATTTTTTATGATGTATATACCCAATTCAACAAAGTTTAAGTGACAGGTATAAAATATCGAGATGATTTTATACACAATTTAAAAGATGATAATTTTATTGTGGTTTTGCCACTAATCACGTGTTTTCCTTAAATTATTTTAAATTAATTACATTTGTAATTAATCATATAAAAACGTGATATAATATTATTCTTTAACCAGACTTAAATTCATTTAGTCGTTCTGCAAAATCATTTGGCTTTGTTTAATCCTTCCAGTCTTGCAATTGTTGACGTTACTGACATATCTCAGTGAATTTAATAATAGCGATTCAAACATATATTATGTCTGTGCATATATAATGTATTCATTATAATGAATTAAAATGTAATTTCTTTACAAATCTGATATCATTAATCTCATCAGTTTATTAAGTTTATTTGTGCTGCCAAGAAACGACCGTGCAAGGAAAACAACATCATACTTTCTTTACAATTTGCACAACATCCTCGTCACAAAGAAGATGGTCCTTCCCTACTTTCTGGGGTTGGTGTTTCACCGATGAGCCCCATACCAACGCGCTGTAACATGACGGGTTAGTAAGGAATTAGTAAAGAAGTAACAATCACTTTCAAAAAACTATAAAAGATGAGAAATATGAAAGACTTACTATTTAAATTCTTTTGCAATTGATCTGTGAAGTTTGTTACAGAAATCTTCAACAGTTCGCTTTTCGGTATTTAATACTACGGGTGCGTTATAGTCCGGGAGTTGTCCCTTCGGCTTTGTGTAACTGTTTCAAGAAATTAAAATTATCTTGTTTTAATAAGAATTTCATTAATTTATCTCAAATTAATTTATATGACAGTTTAAATTGTAAACTTACATCCTAACGAGCTGCAGATAGTCCCACATTTTCTCCAGCAGATCATCGAAGTTCCATTTGTGATGGGCTGAGATCGGCACGCAATGTGGAATTTTATAAATAACATCTAGTTCTTCTATACTTATTTGATCTACGAGAGAAAATGTCTATTTATACGATTCTTATTATTATACGATTAAATTGTTTATCGGATTGCACAGTTACCTATTTTATTCAAGAGGTAAATGCAAGGAATATAAACGCGATTCCCTTCTATAACGTCGATCAAGTCGTCCGAGGTGGCGTCGTACCTTAGTGTGATGTCCGCATTGCTGATTTTATATTCAGACAAGATCATTTTCACCGTATCAAAATCCAACTCAGATTGCGGACACTGAAACAATCGCAATAATCTTTAATCTCAACATTTGATACTGCATTGATTATTATTAATGTTTATCGGTTGTTCGGAGTGCTCTTACAGAAATTCAACACTGTAGGTATTAAATTGGTTAATAATTAATTAATTTAAAAATTCAAAATATTGTTAGTGCTTTTAATGCTTAAAATACTAACCAATTTGATAGTTACAATATTAAATTTCTCTGAGATTGATGTGTGACTTCAAGTAACTTCGAGATAGCAGTAGACTTGTGGTTCGCGGATTCTAGATTTGATTTTAAAATGCCTTGTTTCATATACATCTCATTTTATAAAAGTTCAATTGGAAAATTGAAGATTTTGTTAAAAAAGGGATATGAGGTAAATTGTAAGCAATTATGGTTACAATAAGTTACTCTTTTTTTTGGAGGTTATGTTCCCCGGTTGGGGAACTTATGTGCCTTCAACCCAGTCCTTAGGGTGACACAAAGTTACTTTACAATAAGTTACTTTAATTATTAAGCGGTTATTTTATGAATCATTTTCTTACCATTGTTTGTAAATTGATACCACCCTTGTCCTTCTTCTTGAAGGTTATATTTGGTGGTTGTTTATTCAATCGCAGACCAAAACCTTCCAATTCATGCTCGATCAGCCGCTTATGTCCGAGTGGTTTCAGCACATCCAAGACGATGAAGATTAAGCTGCATGTTCGTGCGACAGCGATGACTTGTCGTCCACGTCCCTTGCCATCCTTTGCGCCTTCTATAATACCTGGAAGATCTAACAGCTGCAAGACGCATCTTGTTACAATCTTACTCAATGTTACTGCCATGTACAATTGATTACAAATCCTAATTAAAATTGAGAAATATGTTTTGAGGTAAGAAATATCAAACTAAAGATTCAATTATCAGCTGCACAAAATAACAAACGTAATTCGTTGCTACCTGTATTTTTGCACCTTTATATTTTATGCAACCAGGGACGGTTGTGAGTGTTGTGAATTCGTATTCGGCTACTTCGGAGTACACACCGGCGAGTGTGCTCAACAGTGTGGATTTTCCCACGGAAGGAAAACCTGTAAATTTAATCATCAGATAAAATCACATATAGAAATACAGAATATCATTTATAACAATTCATAAGATTTCGTTGTAAGATATTATTCTAAAGAGTCTTCTATGCTGCTGTTCAAGGAAGCGCCATTCTAACAGGATGTCAGATTGACATAGAAATATAACAGATATAACTACAATGAACTATGAAGCATCGACATAATTGGACGTACCGACGAAGCCGATACGTGCATCACCGGTCTTGGCGACCTCGAAACCTTGCTCGCCGCCCCCACCGCCGCCCTTCGGGGTGATCAGCTCGCGCCTGAGCTTGGCTAGTTTCGCCTTCAGCAAACCCAAGTGCCCAGAAGTTGCCTTGTTCTTCTGGGTGCGGGCCATCTGTGGAAGAGGAAGCCGCGGATGAGCGATAATGACGCGACTGGACGTCGCCGAGGCATGTTATGCGACGCCGGCGACACAAAACAGAGGATTTTACCTCGGCCTCGATCGAGGCGATTTTTTCCAAGATTGTGCTCATCTTTTAATCCGCTCAAAATGATCGTCGAACAAATTGGCCGGCCGAGGCCTCCTGTCACATTATTAGAAATGCAGAAACGTACAGCAACGCGACCGGGGCATACGCTACACGTGCGTACGCGCATATGTTAGTTCCGCCATGACGGATCATGCATGGTCCATCCATGGATCGCGCGTGTAAAGATGAGAAACCACTGAAGGCACTGAACTATAATCTGGAATGGGCGCAGGCGTGCGCGGAGATAGTGCGATACAGTCGGGTCAAAAAGTTCGTTGTCTCATAACCGATGGCTTTAATCTAACCGTGCTCGGATCTTTTTCGACCATTTAAACAGTCTCGAAGATGTTCTACTTCTATAGACGCAATATTTTTGCCATTTAGTAAAAATGTATTTTTATTGCTTCAGATTCGTGTTTCAATTCAATTAGTTTCTGACTGGGACGGTACCCGGCAGGACAAAACAGTACGAGCATGCGCAGAAAGTGTTTCGGGGACCCTCTCTCTCGGCGCGCACTCCCAAGCCCTTCGTTTCTACACTGAAAACCTTCTATCTCGCTTGCACTAATTCGTTAGATGTATATCTGTTTCATTTTAAGTGCAAAGAGTGTACTCTATAAAGAATGAACAGATCGTAGGACTGCGCACGTTTCACTATCGTTAGGTTTAGTGGGGGATTCAAAACTTCAGAACGTTAACCACGGCATGTATTGTAGACGTTACGAGGCGTCAACAAACGTGCTACTCCGGAGAGTGAAGAGAATTTCACGGTTTTTTTCGGGGCACGGATAACGTAAGAAATCATTTTCATCAATTCTTTGAAAGTATTTAGAATTTTGAGACTGCAAACAATTTCTCTTTAAGTAAATTGCGCAAATCTATTGAAATTTCGACGAAGAAAATAGATGGTGTTCTTTCGACTCTTATATTAACATTATTATATGCATTATTTTCTGATCCTCTTTTACTTAAATTCGATCGATTTGCAGGCGTTTGATCGATCATCATGGATCTGGCAATCGAAAAACTTCACCGTACTCTACTGGACGCGGCATTGCCATCGACTGTTGAAGATCTTAAAAATGCAACAGAGGATTATGTCGTGAATCTGTTAACAACATTCTTATCACGTTTCGAAATCAATATGAGCTTGATTGATCAGGTAAGACCTTAAGCCTCTTACATATCAGTCATCTTTCCGAGATATGAATGATTCCTTGGAGTAACAAGACATTGACTTTTGTTTTTTGTTTTGGTGTATGTTTCTTACTTATATCAAAAATTTTGCAGCCAATTCCAGAACAACTTATCGCTATGCCTTATTACGAGGATTCTGATGTGATAAATCTCATTAATTTACACACAGTTGTGACACGGATATTTGACAAGATATTTCTACATGACTTTTGTCTTAGTGACATCACTAGCCCAGGTACAAATGTCTCAGTTTTGGTATCTTTTATAAGAACTACATTAATAGTACAATATCGTGAATATTACAATTAAATTTTGTAGGACAGAAACGATTTAGAAAGCAAGTGAAATTTCTTTCTAACTTTGTATTGTATACAATACATAAGAAGTCAGGATTTAATGACAAGATGGATCAAATCCAGACTATGTCTAAACTACTGGAAGATGCGAAAGAAAGAAAGGCTCAAGTTGCAGAGTCTATTAATAATAAACTTATGCACAAAGCGAAGCAGTTGTCCATAATAGAAAAGGTAGTTACAAAGTGTATATTATCTTTTAATTAAGACTTCTTAAGTATGTAAAAATAAGATTGAACATATTTTTAGCTAGAGAATGAGATACAATGTATACAATCAAAAGCGGACAAAATTAATAAGAAGGAGGCAGAGCTTGAAAGAATAAAAAGCGAAGTAGAACAGAAAAATCAAAAGGCTAAAGAACGTTGTGGCTCCGTTAGGACGAAAGCAGGAAAGGTAAATATTCGTGTGTAAATCTTGACCTTTTGAAGTAACACTTTGAATTAACATAACTCTGTGCTTTTATAACACTTTCCATTTAGTGACACAAGTCATGTGTCGTTTTGTCTTTGTTAATTATTTAATTCCAAGAAGGATAGAATGACATTTGTGTCCACTTGTGTCAATAAATGAAAAACATCCTTTTGGCGTTCAGTAAATTTGATAAATTTTTAACGGACACTTTAATTTTTAGCTGTCCAAGTTGATAAATGAAGTACGGTCACAAGTTGTACAGTCACCAAAAAAGTATCAATCTCGTTTAGACGAAATTGAGAAGCAACATAAATCAAAAGTAGAGGAACGCGATATAATGCAGGAAGCCATCCAAGAAAAGAAACAGTCTATAAAACAAATCGAGGAGAAACTGAATCTTGTCCAAAGAATAACTGACGACTTTCGTGTATTAGCAGATATATATAAAGAGCAGAAGTATTTTTTCATTTATATTTCTAAATTATATAGTTTTGGCCATAAGTATAAAGCACCTTCAATTTGCACTTTCTTTGAAAAAAAACCGAAACAGGAACAAAATACTAAAATTATAAAAATAAATATTTCTTAATAAAATTTTTTAATTTAATTTTTGTGTCATATATAGAAAGTTTACATTAATTTTTAGGGATGCTTTATTCTTTTAGGCTATATTTTTTCAACAGTCATTAATAAGAAATACGTTATATTTTTCTAATATTTTCTAATTTAGAGACAAGAAAACAAAATTAAACAATGTTACAAAAGCAACTGACTCCTTAAACAATAATTTGAAAGAATCAAAAACAAAATTAGCAATACATAACGATCAAATGGACAGTGAAAAGAAAAAATTACAAATCTATATTGAAGAAGACATGATGCCATTGCATACCCTGCACATCCAAGTATTGAGGTAATATTACACAAAGTTAATTTTTTTTTAATTAAAATATTTTTGTAGGATTTATTTTTTGTATAATTCTTTAATTTTTGATACTTTTATTTACTTTATACTTACTTTAATATTTTAGTATAAAAAATATTAAATTAAAATTTAATTATTTATAGTGAAAAGAAGATACTGAAAACCAAATTAGATAAAGATCGAGATTGTTTCAATGAAAAATGTTTAAGACGAAACAAATTACAAACCGAAATTAAGAAAATAGAGGAAGAAACGACAGATCTAATAAAAAATGCTCAGGAATGCTATGACAACGATATAGCTAATGTGAGTTACATTGATAATTTTCTATAATTATGTCTGTAATTAAATTAAGCAATAATTAAATTATGTTTTAAACAAATATATTTTTTATAATGTAACTATATTATGTGATCTATTCCAGGAGATTGAATTACAGAAAGCTTGGAGAGAAGAGTAATTACAAGACGTTGATTTTCTATAATTATGTCTAAATTAAGCAATTATTAAATTATGTTTTAAATACATATATTTTATAAAATAAAACGATCTAAAAATCTTTTTCTATTCGCTCTTGCTTTCTATTAAGATACTACCAATAAAACTTAGAATAAATAACTTAAATGTATTAGTTTGATATCGAAAATAATATTCTGTAGTTTGTCGAAAATTTGTAATTTATTATTTAAATATAGCTGCACCTTGAAAACTTAATTTATCAAATATTATTTATCAAGATAAATAAACTTTTTAGTGATTTATTAAAATAAATAAACTTTTTTTATATAATATTTATATTTATATAATTACTTTTAGCTTTTAAAATCAAAATAAAGTATAAAACTCTATCGACTAAATAATTATGAGAGGTGTCATACACCTTAATTATGTATGTACAGCCGTAGACAGATTGCGACACTTTTTTTATGGGTTTCAAAATGCACTAATATTTTGCAAATGCGAACTACGATTGGTGTTATACTGTCTCTATATAGATTAAAGATAGTACATTGTGTCGCATTTGCAAAATATTAGTTACCAATAAAATATGTATTATATATACATATATTAAATATATGCTAAAAACCTAAGAAAAAAAGTGTCGCAATCGATATGTCCACGACTGTGCATATAAATTTATATTATAAAATTGATTATACCTTTTCAATGCATAATATACTGAATTTAATTATGTAACATACTTTGCAGAAAAAATGATTTAAGTGACAACTTGAATTTGGCCGTAAATATCAATTGAAAAACGTTTCTAAAAATTATATAAAAATCTGTGTCCCAATCTCTATCGCGATTTTTTTTAATACTAAAATTTCGAAGCAAACGATCGAGATATAAATCGCGTGTGTAAATATATCTTATGGGTGAAAGAAAGTTGTACACAATGCAAATATATAATAAAAGGAAATTATAAAATTGGAGTACAAAATTCAAAACGATAAGTGCTTTAATTTATATATAAATATAAAAAATAATATTATATTGCAAAAAGAAAACATGTTCGTTTAAGTTAATAAAATATATTTCTAATATATCATAGAAAATAAAATAATAAATTGTGAAAAAATTAAAAATTAATTATTAGTTAAATGAAATATGTTAATGGAAATTATAACTAAGTTAAATAAATAATAAAAAAACTATCTTGAAATTGAATCTGCTAAATCAATTATCAAATTATTTAGCTGTTTGCAACTTTAAAAATTTGATGACTTTTGCTTCTATTTTTACTTTATACTCTTAATTATGTTGGTTCACGGAATTCCCTTCTTGATGATCGATGTTTTCCTTCTTGTTCTGTGAAATGTCTTTCTGCTCGTTCTTCTACTGAATGTCAGTATCTCGCTTTGAGTTGGAAGCATTGATCCTTTCGGTAGCAGTCGAAAGTACTTCTTCTGGTAGCATCTCTTTATTTGATTGAGTCAATGAATCATCAGTATGATGAGATTCACGACCATAAAACGGTCCTCCCGCATTTACAGTAACTGACGGTACGTTACTTGCTGAAGCTTGAAAGTCGTAGTTAATCGGATAAGAGGTTCCGGCATAGTTTCCGTAAGCTCCGTAAGTGTTAGAACTTGGATAGGTGTAGGATATTGGATTAGTATAGTATTGAGACTGATAATATTTATGGACATTGTCGGATCCGTACGCAGGGAATTGCACATTGAAGTTTATAGGAGCATAATTATGTTTCTTATGATGTCTTCCTTCCTGCAAAAAAATAATTCGGTATTCATTATTTATGTGAAAACCATATATTTTATTTTATCTTACCATTTAAAAGTATCTTTCTACATATTAATTCTTTTTAAGATTAGGACTTGTATTATTATGCGATAATTTTCAGCTTTGTATTTTCAGCAGTTAAGCGCACGACTAATATTTCAAATTATACGCATCAAAAGATTCCAAACGCAACGCAATGCTTAATTTAGAGATATACACTACAGATTATAATAAATAAACTGGATGTTAATCAAAGGATCGAAAGAGGAAGAACAAAGAGAAGGTTTTTGTGAATAATTTTTATTTTTTAAACAATACATAAGAACGATTAAGTTGAACATATATGCTTCAAAAGATACATGTTTGTATAGAGATGTATGCTTTGTATATAACGTTTTAAATATTTTAAACTTTTGATTTTTGAGCTTGCTTAATTGGTCCAATTCCCTTTACGAAGTCATCCAGGATATAAAGAATTAAACCTGTTCGTAAAATGAAATAATTATAGCTCTTTCTCTGAACGAATTGGCAAGCTTTCTACACAGAAGAGCTTACTTTACAAAATCTTATCATAGAAATTTTTTAGAATAACAATTTTTTAGAGTTAATTTAACAATAGACTTGCGCACCCATAGGAATCTTTTGTTGTCGCATCAGGTTTTTATCATTTTTAAAGACTCGTACCATTAGGATATCGCGCAATATCGCCCGTGTTATTATCTCAAGATTAATGTGGAATCATGTAGCATTACTATTCAATTCTTATCAAATTTAGTACTCACCGCTTCCCTAGCTTCTTCTGAATCAAAAAACATGAGTTGATTCGATATGACGCTAGGATTGTTTCCTCTAGTCATCATTACGGTCCTATGAGGTCCTACAATATCAATTTCACTGTTGGAATACATGCTTGGATCCTGAATATTGAATTGGGGATTAATCATATGGGATGAACGAGCGTTATTCCTTGATTGACAATTGCATTCATATGCTTCTTTTTCAGTTTTGCAGCCATCTACTCCATACTGTGACATCTAGATCAGGAGAAATAACATATTTTATTTAATATAGAAAGACTTTATATAGCACGTAATGCATCAATTAAAAAAAGAGTTTACAGATTCGGAAAACTAAAGATATTAGAACTTAACGCAGATTCAAGAATCCATCTTATTACAGCTTTAAAAAAAATCAAGCAGTCTTATCTTTAGAATTAATAATGCTTGCCACTTACATCAATAAAGGATTGAGGTCGAACAATGAATTCTAAATGGGATGGTACAGGAACCGGTGCTTTGCATACTCTGCATTCAGGCCTTTGCGTAAGAACGAGCTTCTGTTGCGGGCTTGGCAGAACGAAAGAGGGACGCTAAATTATGAAGACGGGATAAAACATTAATAATATATGTTAATTCTTATTTTGTTCTTTCTCAAAAACATTTTTTGTATAATGTTATAATTATTTTAATTTAGTTGAATTTAATTAATCAATCAATCGATTATTTTTACAGATTTTACTTACAATTGAAGCTCTTAATTTTTAATTTATTTTATTTATCTAAATTAATTGTCTTTTTACCTGTGGTCTGGGAAGTGGTACTTTTGGCAATTTCGTTTCTTCCTTGTGCGGTTTAGAGATCGGAAGAGCACACGTC